GCCTCTCCCTACCTAGAGTCAGCTCTCCTTAGCTATAAAGGCTACATTTCAGATTCTTTTCTCTGCTTCTCATTCCATGATTCCAGAGCAGTTGCAGCATGAGAGTTCTGAAAATCAGTGTGGGGGCCGGAGGCAGTGGCAGCCATCTGTACATGGAGGTCATTTATAAATAAGAGTCTACAGTCAGTGTCAGTAATAAGAATTACAACATTAGCATCTTGATTTATTATGAGCAAAAATTTAAAAGAGCTGAGAAAATTTATTACCTAATTGAATCTTTCAAAAAGCCAAAAGGAACCAGATACGTTTAAATTGATCGTATTATAAAATGTATCCAACTTGTCATTCCATATTTTTCTCATATAATACACTAAAACAATAAAGACAAAAATTATTTTCTTTCAGGTTCTTTACTTTTAAGATTAGGGGCTTCAAAGTAGTTTAGGGATTAACCAAGTTCTGATGACCTTGGAGCTATATACTGAATAACATCACACAGCTTCTTTTTCAGTTTCCCAGATGGACTAAATATGATGCTTTCTTTTTTGGATAGCAAAAGCAAAGGAAAAGAAATACAGATTACTAAAGCTATCATCAGCAACAGTGATACAACAAATCTTCAGTTATAGAGCGAACATAAATACCGTTTACAAGATGATGTCAGAATGCCAAAATTAACTAAACCAACCCAAAGCAGTAACTCAAGATAGCTTTTCTCCCACAAAGAGGAAATACAGAACCCATTTTAAGAGAATTACAAGGCTCACCCTATTTGTTAAACATGGATAGGTAGTTGTTAGTTATGGCTACAGGAAGAGAAGGCAATCTGAGATGGGCCAAAGGGGTTTAGATTTTCCAAAAGGTAGAAGGTAGTTTTTAAAAATTAAACTTTGACAGAGGCTCTAAAATGTTTTAGGTAAGAAGGTAAATCTACTCTTTATACCCTGTCAACTAAATTGGGGAACTGACTCGAGTTCAAATCCTAACTCTGCTTCTTGCTGGCTGTGAACCCGCAAATTACTAAGCCCCTCTCTCAGAGTAAAACAAAGTTAATACTATTTACTTTGCAGGGAGGTTTTGTCTGGATTAAATGAGAAACATTTGTAGTTAAGCAATGGTACCTGAAGTGTACTGATATGTGCCAGGCGAGAGGAGAGTCTCTAGCAGCAGGCTCAAGGCCTGCTTCTGACCCCATCATATACTACCTTTTATCAATGACTAGAATGGAGACACAGAAGGCAGGGTTATTAAACCTATGGATCTACGGATGAAACAACACTGCAAAAGAGCACTACTATGTTGCATAAAATGAAAGAATCAAAGAAACCTTCAACAGATAGCATAAATGGACCCAAAAAAAAGTGGACTGTAAAGGGGATAAATGTAAGGTCTCAAACTTAGGTTCAATAAAACAGCTGCACAATACCTAGAATCTAGGGGTATGGTGGGGGGGTGGGTTGCTGATTTTAAAAGAAAACTGGAGCTGTGAATGATTCTAAGTTCAGTAATGGGTGGGCCAGGCTTCCCAGGTGGCTCAATGGTAAAGAATCTGCCTGCCAATGCAGGAGATGCGGGTTCAATTCCTAGGTAGGGAAGATCCCCTGGAGGAGGAAATAACAATCCACTCCAGTATTCTTGCCTGAAAAATGCCATGTACAGATGAGCCTGGTGGGTTACAGTCCATAGAGTTGCAAAGAGTCAGACACGACTGAGCACTGAGCACTCAGTATGGGCCAAGAGTGTGCTTTACTGCAGAAAAAAGCAAATACAATTTTAGCCTGTATTAGTAATGGTATTGTCTAGCATCAGAGAATAATAATTCAAGAAGATTCTTCACTGATCACAGTGTTAGACTCTTGAGCACATTTTATCAATAGAAGAAACACTGACAAAAGAGAACATTTCCAAAGGAAAGTCACCTAAATGATGAAGGATTTGGAATATAGGATATTTGAGAAATTGGGGATGTTTAACTTGCAAAAGAGAAAAATCTGAGGGAATATGTAACCTGTTTTCAAACAGCGAGGGAGCTATCACGTGAAAAAGGAATCATTTAGTTCTACAGTTTCAAACAGCAGAAATAATATGTATAAAAATTAGCTGGAACCCCATACAAAAAAGACTTCTAATATGACACTAAAATGGGCTAGCTTTATGGTGTAGCACCCTCTATCACTAAAGTATTAAGACAGAGATTAGATTCATTTCCAACAAAAATGTACTGAGCATCTTTGTCCCAGGCAGGTACAAAGCATTGATAACAGTAAATACAAAACTAATACGGTCTCTGCTTTCGTGGAGAGTAAAGTCTAACAGTGGAGGCAAATAATCACACTAAAAAGTTTTAAATGACAGATAAATCTCTAAGGAAAGGAATACAGTTCTTCAAGAACATATGGAGAGTGGAGTTTGGGCGAGAATGGATACATGTATATGTATGGCTGAGTCCCTTTGCTGTCCACCTGAAACTATCACAGCATTGTTAACAGGCTATACTCCAATATAAAATAAAAAGTTTAAAAAGAGAGAGAAGAGCATATTAACACAGGATCTGACTTGGTGTGGGACCAGAACAGGCCTCCCTTGAGTAGCTGAGTGATCCGTGAGTAGGAGGTAAACGGGTGGGAGCAGAACATCATAAAGAAAGGGAACAGCACACGCAAAGTCCTTGTGATAAGAGGTTAAAGGATTGGAAAGGCTTATATAACCCGAGCATAGGGAGTAAGACGGTGAGTGGAGATGCAGGAGCAGAACTACAAAGGGCCTTAAAGGCCCAGTTAAGGATTTGGTCTTCTCCCAAAAGTAATTAGATGCTATTAAAGCAGGGGATTAAGTAGCAATGTGCACGGAAGAGAATAATCAATGTGGTGAATGGCATAAGGAGACTACTTGGGAGCTTCCTGCAGTAGTCCAGGCCGGAAATGATAGTGGTTTGGGAAAAGCAGGTGGAAATGAAGATGTAAAGAGGTGGAAGGATAGATTGGAGAGAATTTTAGGACATTAAAATGACAAAACCCATGTAACTAGTTCAGTGGGTGTTTGGATACGGTTTAAAGCAGCAATTTTAAAGCAGCAATGCCCAAGCCAGATTCTTTGGCTCTAATAATTAATTCCCTTTTTTTGGGGGAGGGTTGGGTGGGGACAGAACTCAGTGATGAATTTTACTTGGTGAGGGAGAAATATAAGGAATGACCCACTCCCCATCCGCCAGGCTTCTAACCTATATAGGTGGGTGGATTGTGATGCCATTCACTGATACAGCAAACTGTAAAAATATCAGGTGGGATAAGACCATGGGTTTATTTGAACAAGATGAGTGTGAGGTGTCTTTGTTTTAAACAGTTTGGCATACTGACCTTGAATTTAAAGAACAGGTCTGGACTGGGAGTAAAATACTGAATATCGTTGACATATAGACAGTAGTTGAAACTGGGCTTAGAAGAGATCACCCGGGGAGAAAGCACTCAGTGAGGACACAGCCCTGAGGAACATCTGCATTGAATAACAGAAGAGAGGAGGGTGAGTCTGCAAAAGAGTGGTCTGCCTAAAAACTGGAGGGAGGCTGAAGCCAAGGGAAGAGCGTTTTCTGTGAAGGAGGCAATGGTCAACAATGTCAAACGCTGTTGAGACAACCAGCAAGACAAGGAATGAAAAACATCAATTAAGTTTAGAGGCATGTTTCACTGGGATGATGGGACCAGAAATCAGACTGCAGTGGGTTGAGGTATGAGTGGGAGGAAGGCAAATGGGAGACAAATACATGAGACAATTCTTATCAAGATTCCTGGCTGTAAAGTGGGGAGAGAAAAGGTGACAGCTGTGGGGGTGGAGGGAGGGTTTGTTTCAAGATGGAAAAAGCCTGAGTTTGCTGTTAAAAGGGAGCAGGTGAATATACAGGAATGGGGTTCCTTAGAAGATGCGGAGAGACAGACTCTGAAGCACAGGTGGAGGGAGTTGTGGAGGAACTAGCTGCAGATAAAAGATTAGGCTGTGGGGAAAAGAAGAAAAAGAGGCCTAATTAAACGACCTTTAAGGCCTCTTCTCAGTCTAGAATCTCCTGACTTACAACTGTGTTCAGGGAGTCTATTTGCCATGTATGCATAATCTATGCAAACTTATTCAAATATTCCAGTAGAAATAAATCAGTCAAGCACATCCTTATCCCCTAATGACGCAGTTAACGTCCCCAGGTTTATGAACAGTAATCTCTAGGCAGGATCCATCCCTCAGAGAGGTTCCTGCCCAACGCAGACTGCAGTAAAGCACAGAACCAGTCCTATCTCCCCTGGCCAAACCCATACTACACCGCGATCTCAGAGGCTAAAGGAGGAAGTTAAATTTAAAACCCCGAAACTACAACATACCCTGCTGCATTCAAAACGACTGTCATTCATAAAAGCAAAACACGACACCTCCAATCCATCCCCACTCCAAGCTCAAGGCATGTCTGCCTGAGCCGGCAGTGACACGTCCCCCTGATGGCCGAGGGTTAACACCCAAAGTCATTTGCACCCCTCTCCTCCTTTCCCGAGACCTCTGATTGTGAACAACCAGAAATGGGGTTCCTAATGGTCCCTGTCACAGCCCTTGACCCAATGGAGCGGACAGATGCCCCGCAGCTGTTCCAGAGAAGGCACCTAACAAGCCCTCCTCTTCAGAGGAAACCCCTCGAGCCCTCCGACCCGGGCTGGGACGGCCACGAGCCTGCGGCTACCCTGAGAAGCTAGGGGGACAGGCCCCAAGGGATGGAATGGGACAATTAAAGGAGACCTGGGTTGCGAGGGGGTCTCCTCCCCTCGAGCTTCCTAAGGGGGAAGGAGTTTCTGAGGAGGGTTAATCCCCTGCCACCACTCCTCACTTCCCACCTTCTCTGGCCTGCCGCCCCCTCCAACACCCCATTTGCTCAGACTCACTCCCCTCCCCGAAGGCCGTCTGGACCTCCCGTTGCCCGCGAGCCTGGAACCCCCGCCGCGAGCCGCGGCTCCCGGGCCGGCACTCACCCGGCCCGCCATCTTCACGGACACGTCCGGCTCCGCCGCTGCAGCTCGGCGCTAGGCAGAGCCCGCCCCCGCCGCGCGCGCCCGCTGCCCGCCCTCGCGCAGGCGCGCTGCCGCCTTGACTCCCGCGCGCGCCCGGCCGCGTGCCCGGGGCCGGCGCCCCCGCTCCGCCGGACGCGCGCGGATTCCGCGGCTGTCCGGGGCGGACGGGGCGCCATCTTGAACTCCAGCTGCCTGGGGCGGTGGGGGCCAGTGACTGTCCGTCTAGCACGTGTCTGCTGGTGACTTTCTGCAGGGCTCCTTTTGCGAATGTCATCACAGCTGGCTGTTTGCCCTGGGCTCTGTAGCAAGGATTTTGATACTTTTAACCACTGAGCTCCTGCTTATCCCTGCCCTTTAGTGGCCTTTTAACTTTATGCTTCCAGATTCACTTGGGTGAAAGGTACAGAAGAGCCCCCAGAGCAGGTACTGGGCTTCCCCCTGGGAAGATCAGTGATGTGGAGCGGGTTCTGAGTTCAAGTTCTCTATGAATTCAGGCTTTTCATTGTAGGCGGACTTGTTTCCTAGCACCTGGAAATGATCGACCTTGGTGTTTACATTTAGTTTGTTTTGCCTGGAAAGCTCAGATTTAAGATTTCATTCAAATGTATAAGTGAATTGTGATTGTTTCTATGTCTTTATATAATTTTATTAAGTATGTTTATGTATAAAGGGAAGTTTATCTCTTAACAACCTTTCGTCATTTACCAGTGTTCATTTTAGACAGTATATATATACGGAATTTGAATGAATTGTGCCTTAAAGTTGGTCTTTTTTTTTTTTAACCTTGAACGTCTGCTGTCTACCACAACATTTCCTCAGAATAGGTAATGATAACAGCGCTCTGTAAGAAGAGAGGTTCTCCCAAATAGGGTCTCTGACACTTTTATTGTCTCCACTATCTTATATTTCTCTTCATATTTACACAAGACAATAAGAAATGATGTCTTAGCTTTTTCACAGTAATTAGACCACTCTGCCCTGCTACCTCCCTTCATAGTTAGTTAGAAGAAATAGTTTTTTCCAACTTGAGGAAAGGAAAGAATTAGAAGAGCTGGCCATGCTTTAGCGACTTAAAAGGGATAACCAATAACAATAAGTGACCTGAAGATTGGGGGGTTGGGAGGGCAGAAGAAAAAAATCAGGTGAGTGTCATAAACTTTCACACTGCACCTGAGAACCAGACTGTGCTCTTGGACAAATCAGATGTTAACTAATCATCGGCAGATCAGAGAGTTCATCAGGAAACCCAGGGAACTAGTTGAACTCTGATCTATTAACTTGAAAAAAACTATAAAAATAGTTAGAATAGACTGGAGAGTCAGAAGTCTGAGATTCTCATCCTTTTCCTTGCTCTGCTACTCTCTCCCCATCTCTGAGCCCCATGTTCCTTATTTAGGAAGGGAGAGGTATAATTCAATGAGCATAACAGGTTGTTTTGCATTTTTTGATACTTTGAATGTATAAATCAAAGACATTTTGCCGAAATGATTACCAGATCCAAAAGATGACATTGGCTGTCAGTACACTGATCTGATGTTATTTCAAGGCCGGAGAATAAGCAACTGTATATATGCCTCTGCTGTGTTGCCTTGTTTTGCTGGGTAAGCTAGATTGCAAGTGAAAATGTCTTCAGTCTCTCCGACAAGGAGCAGTGTTTCTCATCTAAGAAAGACAGTCTTGCTGGATGCTTGGAAAGGTTCCTCTGAGTCAGCTTACAAGCATGTCTACCCATAATAGGGGGTTCTTTGTATCCTATCACAAAGAGTATCAATTCACTGGACTCATGTGCAAGGCTCTCTGCCTTGCACATCAAAGAAATAACAGGCAGACATGAGCTCCTGCCCTTGAGGTGCTTAGCCTCCACGGGGGGGTGAGGGTTCTGAGATATCACTCCAGGTTGTCACACGTCTGTGCATCCCATCTGTGCTTTGCTCTAATATTCCAAGGTCATCCTAGAAACAGTGGGACTGTTGGTGATTCTGCATCACCTTCTGAGCAGTCTTCACAGTCAGGGTTGATAGGCAGCACACATTTTTGCTGCCCCAAATCCATTCCCCCTTTTTTCTGGTCACAGATACCTGGGTTCATGTAGTCTCAAAAGCATTGTCAGACAAGGTACCCAGCACTCCCCTGACCTGGGAAGGATCACAAAACCCAGACTCAGTCAGTCAGATGCTCTCTCTCCCAAGCAACTACATCCTTGACCATCCTAAGGAAGAAAGACAGAAAAAAAGCAAGAGCTGATTTACCCCAATAGTGATATCCTGAAAAGGCCATCTGCTTGGTTATCTAGCCCCCTGGAATTTACCTTATTTTTTTTTTCTTTTTTAATAAATACCAGTCTTTTGCTTTATGTTTTAATTTATTTTTATTTTTGGCTGTGCTAGGTCATTGTTGCTGTGAGCAGGCTTTCTCTAGTTGCAGCAAGTGGAGGCTACTCTTCATTGCAGCGCTCTGGCTTCTCATTGCGATGGCTTCTCTTATGGAGAATGGGCTCTAGGTGCTCGGGCTTCAGTAATTGCTCCGTGGCATGTGGGATCTTCTCCGACCAGGGATCGAACATGTGTACTCTGCACTGGCAGGCAAATTCTTAATCATGTGACCACCAGTGACATCCCACCTAATTTCTGTCCTTGGTAAAATCTGTTTCTCTCTCTTTGTCTTGATTTCTGTGACTTAATCAGTCTTTCCTTTCCTCAAAAACAAAAAACAAACAAAAGCTCCCTCAGCTTGTCATTGATCCCTGAAACTCTTTTAATTTGCTTTCCTTTCAATGAAGAACTGGGTATGACAGCTTGCTCCTACTGCTAAGTCACTTCAGTCGTGTCCGACTCTGTGCGACCCCATAGAAGGCAGCCCACCAGGCTCCCCCTTCCCTGGGATTCTCCAGGCAAGAACACTGGAGTGGGTTGCCATTTCCTTCTCCACTGAATGAAAGTGAAAGTGAAGTCGCTCAGTCGTGCCCGACTCAGCGACCCCATGGGCTGCAGCCCACCAGGCTCCTCTGTCCATGGGATTCTGCAGGCAAGAGTACTGGAGTGGGGTGCCATTGCCTTCTCCATATGACAGCTTACAATAATTTAAATTTAACCTACAATGTAAATGACTACGGTCAGTTTCTAAGGTCTAGGGGGACTGTTTCAGGTGAGAGGAGGTGGGCGAGGGGACTAGAGATAGGCTCAGAGAGGAAAGGGGGAGCAAGTACCTGAAGGGTGAGAAGAGAAGATGGCTTGCTGAAGTGGAGGCAGCAATACCCAAGATAGAGAACAGTGAGGTAAGTGGGGAGAAGGTCAGCTCTTGCTGATAAGCTACTCTCTGACCCACCGTGATGGTTAATTTTACACATTAACTTGGCTGGGCCATGGTGCCCAGATACTTGACCAAACGTTACTCTAAATGTTTCCGTGAGGGTATTTGGTGATGAGATCTACATTTCGATCAGTGGACTTTGAGTAAGATAGCTCTCCACACTGTGGATGGACCTCATCTAATCAACTGAAAGCCTGAATAGAACAAAAGGCTCCTATCCACTTAAAAAGAGAATTCTCCAGTGGAATGACTTTGGACTTGAATGGCAGCTCTTTCCTGAATCTCCAGCTTTCTAGTGTCTCCCATTAGATTTTTGGACTTGCCAAGCCTCCAGCATCACATGAGTCAATTTCTTAAAATAAATCTCCCTATATATACACAGCCTGTTGGTTCTGTTTCTCTGGAGAAGCCTGACTAATACACCATGTTTCCTGCTGGTGACGAGGAAGTGATTCCAAACTTTTCCGCTGTGAACTTGGTATCACCTGTTGCTCCCTGATAGGTAACCAGCAGTTAGAGGTGGAGGCCTGATTCGACGTTTTGGGGACTCCATGAATATATATATATATATTTTTTTTATTTAATGTTTTGGATTTTGAGGGGGGCGCTGTGCTGGGTCTTCATTATTGCGTGGGCTTTTCTCTAGTGGAGATGGGTGCTACTCTCTAGTTGTGGTGTGAGGGTTTCTCGCTGGCTTCTCTTGTTGCAGAGCACAGGCTCTAGGGTGCTCAGGCTTCAGTAGTTGCAGCACTCGGGCTCAATAATTGAGGTTCCCAAGCTCTAGAGCATACGGGCATCATTGCTCCGTGGCATGTGGGATCCTCCCGGACCAGTGATCGAACCCGTGTCTCCTGCATTAGTAGGTGGAATTTACCACTGAGCCACCAGGGAAGCCCCTCCATGGATATAATTCTGTGTTCAAATTATGTCCGGTTAAACATTACTTAATAATCGCTTCCTTAGAATGGGACTGAGTAACTTTCGGACATTCTGGTTGTAGCAGTGATGCTAACAACTTAACTAGGGGGAAATAAACTTTTTCTGTGTTTTGAGAAATGAGAGCAATAGTGAGCTACATAAAGTAAACTGATGCTCTGTTGTCCAGTTTATTTAACAAAGAATGTGCTGTTTTGCTGATTTCCATGTTATTTAAGGGAAAACGAACTTTAGTCTGGAATCCCGGGGCTAAACAAATGACACTGCGGACAGAAAGGAGGTTTTAGTCACATCAAGGTGTGGGTTTCAGAGAGCTTCCAACAGGGCTGCATGCAGGTGTTTCAGGGAACAGCGCTCTGCAGTGTGACAGAAGCTATCTTCAGGTTGTGTGTGTGTGTGTGTGTGTGTGTGTGTGACAGAAAGAAGGACCTACACTGCCCCCTTGCACAAGAAAAAGATCCTTGTGAAGCAGACAAAGGTGATCTTCATAAAACCTTTGATACCCTTCCCTCTACAGCCCCTCCTTTCTTTCCCAAGTACTTTCAGTATTAGTAACATAATACATTCCTCTTTTCAGGACTGTATGCAATTTAAGAGAATATTGCCAGGAAAGAAATAAAGAAACAAATCTCTAAGAGCAAAATTTCAGACACTGTAACATCTTCATGTGGATAGCGATCCTTATTCTTGTCCCTCCAATCATAGCCCATCAGTCAGCCCCCTATGCC